ATGGTACTTCAGCCAGCCACTGGCTCAAGTGACACACACACAGACACACACACACACTCGTACAAACTCCCACTCGCACGCATGGACTAGGACGGAGGTCATCATTGGCACAAATCCAGGGCAACTGAGTTACCCTGGGGCCGCTATATCATCCACCCACGTCTGGGCTTCGTGTACGAGGCAAAATTGTGACCGTAATTATCCAGCCAGAGGCAACGCCCAGCCCTCTACACCCCCACTGGATTCACGGAGGCTTGATGGGAAGAATTCAGTGGAACATCTGACCCAGCCGCTGGCAGATCCAGAGCGGAAGCACGAAGCGCACACAACCAACACCCCGGAGGAATTTCTGTTTGCGTTCCGTGGTCGTCACATTTTCCGGACAAATTATCTTATATATATTTTTTATGGAATGTTGAAAATCGCTCGCAACGTTTGGTTCTGACCACGAGTTTGAAATCGTCAAATTGTTCCAAAAAATTCCACTGCGGCCGGGCATCCTCTCCAATGTGTTTATTTTTTCTTCTGCTTGTGCCGGCGTTGTCGTTTGGCACGATGTCCGACGTTTCGCTCCACGTGCCGGGAGCTTCTTCACCGTGCCCAACAAGCGTCTGATGAGCCGTGCGCCTGTACGCACAGCAAAGAGAGAGGCATTTAGGACAAAGCGCTGTTGGCGAGCCGCACCTATGAACTGCCTGCATTGCACACGAGGGAGTGGGTGGCCAACACCACGCCAGGCCGCCTTTTTAAATCCTTTATATTGAGTTCGCTTGCTTGCTTGCTTACGACCGTGCAACCCACTTCCAAAATTTTACACTGTTTAGGGAAAACAAATTAAATATTTAATTATCAATTGTTTAATACTGCAGACAATCATCTGACCCATAGGTGGCAGCCATCTCAAGCCAGAGGACGAGAGGACTCTAGCCGCCACGCATATAAAGAATTTATAGTGAAAAACTTTGTTTTTACGGGTTATACTTGTTATTATTGATGTTTACGCCCCGCAGCAGGTTTCAATTTCAGACTGAGTCAACCTAGGGGATGCCCACGACCGGTTAAGATAATCGTCACCGGTGTTGGTGGCCGTGAGCCCAGAATCGAGCTACCGTTTCGCTGGGTTCGTAGCGCAGCACGCAAACCACTCCGCTGCTGCGAGCCACACACGCACACGGCTGTAAATCACGCACACACGTAAATACGCGTGCCAACTTGGCAGCAGCAGCAGCAGCTTCACTTGCACTTAACGACTGTTGCTACAAGCGCAGACTGCCGCAGGACAGAGTTTCCCTCCCCCACCTCTCCCCAACCTCTTACGAAGTCTTGCAAAACAGAGAGAGGGTCTGCAGAGCGAGAGAGAGAGAGCAGAACGTGCAGAGCACGCGGAGTCATTCCACCTCGGGGGATGGACGGACACGCGGTGGGCTGGAGGCTCCGGTTCGCAGAAAACTCCACCCCGGCTTCTCCGCACCGAGGGGCTTGCGAGCAGCGGGCGGTTTGCCTGGCGGATGACGGGAGGGTGCTTCACGTGTATGGAACGTGCGTTGAACTTCTTTCGCGCCGTACGTAGTCCGACCCGTGTTAATCGGAGGCGCGGGATGGGGGGGGGGAGATACACCAAATCTAAGCACACACAAAGCCGTTCCGAAGAAATTAGCTTTCAATCTAGTTTATTTTAAAGCTCGTAGCGCCAACGGCGTCCTAATATCGAAAGAAGAGGGTTCCAGACGGCCGCAGAGGGGCATTTAAACATAATTGCTCGGCACTAAAGTTAGCCGTAGGCAAGAATTGAACTCGGCATACACATGCCTGGCTGCCTTTGTCTCTTCAATGGCGATCTTAACACATTTTTTGGGGTCAGATCACGTAAATATGAATGTGTCGTTAAACCCGCCACCATTCGACACAGCCAATTAGTAAGGGTTGTCACATAAACAGAACTTGCCAATTCGTTACTAGTATAGCTGGAGAGTAAATCAACAACATTTACGATCCAGATCTACCCCACACAAATCTGGCTGCCGCCTGATGATGCTGTTTGTAATTATTGGCGAAACGTCGTACTCAGATTGTAAATGTTGTGGATTTACTCTCCAACACACCGGTGTAGTGCTGTACTAGTAACGAATTGGCATGTTCTGTTTACGTGACAACCCTTACTAATTGGCTGTGTTGGGTGGCGGGCGGGTTTAACGACACATTTATATATTTACGCGATCTAACCCAACACAAAAAAAAAACTGTATTATGGATGATATTTGTTTGCGAATGCCTATTGTGTGTTAAACCAACCTCATACATGTGGCACGCAATTGGTACGTGTGAGCCCACTTGGGCCCGCTACATTCATTCCAATGTAAAAAAATTAACCCGTAAAAACAAAGTTTTTCACTATAAATCCTTTATATGCGTGGCATCGGTTTTATTTTATTATTCATTTCTGTTTTTCTTGAGTAAGAGTTTCATTTTTATCACATTGGTATTTTAAATTAAATATGAATTGTTTTTTCTAAAAAGTGGAAAATTTTGGAAAACATTTTTCACGAAAATAAATTGTCACGCACAACGAGTCTGTGTGCAAAATGTCAGCTCGATTGGATCACGGGAAGTGGGTTAAAAAACGACCGAAAGATTTGCACGGTCGTAAGCGCGCAAGCAAGTAAGTGAACTTAATATAAAGGCTTTAAAAAAGGCCATGTCTCCCCAAATGTTGTTTTCACAAACAACCCACCATTGGTTCAACACGAGACACACTTACGCCCGGTTTCGACACTCAAGTCTCCCGTGCGGCGGCACGCATGGATCAATTCTGGCCAACTCCCAGAAATGTATGGGCAAAGATCCCTTCCTTGAATAAAATTGAACCCACAGATCTCTACAATTCGCAACAAATCACACGTGATTGTGATGGTGGGGGGCACACATCCACCCAGTACGGAACAGGGTACTGAGGATTACTGTTCAACTGCAGCTGCCGTCGCTGTCATCACCGTAAAAACACGCGGTTGACCGGTTAGGGAAGTAAGTGGACAGTGGATACGCCTGACCCACGACGCACAGTCATTGTGCGTGCTTCTGCGAACGCAATCTCAGCAACTTCCCCCACCACCGCTATCTTCCTCCTCCGCAGTTGCTTTTAAAAACACAAAAAAACCCACGCACAGAAGCGCATTTAGCGCCATTCATTCGCGATGGGAACCACGACGTTGCGCCAAACCGCCGTAGTCTGCGCGCCCTGTCAACGTGGGAACACGGCAACAACAAAACAGCAACAAAGACTACAGGCGGATAAACTCTACCGAATCCTCCTCGTTGTGGGCGAGCAGAGACCTCGACATAGGCATATCGGAACCTTCTTCTCAGGCACTGCGCTGCTTAACCTTGACAGCAGCCTTGCGAGACCCTCCCTTTGATCGTTCTCGATCGTGTAAAAAAAAAACGGCCTCACGTTTAATAAACACGTGGGGTTTGATTAAACAAAGTAAATTCGCGTAGATGAAAAATAATAATAATAATAAAACAAATATTATTTTTCGTCTACGTGACTTTACCGAAAGAGCCAAAGAGTATGGATCCGTGCAGTCACGAAAACTTCAAATCGAGAATAAACAAACTAAGTTGTACTCGCGTGGCTGTGCCTCACATTTGCGTTTTCGACGATCTACCTTCTACAACAACCTGGCCCTGCCTCGCACCCCCAGGATAAGAAGCGCTGCTCTCTCGGGCACGGCAAATCAATTCCTCTGCGAAAATCGCTCTGCGTAGACATTCTTTGGGGGTAACGCCTCGGTCAGATGACTTCCGAATTGACTATTCCTCTCGTTCTGCACAAGAGCGTGCCGGGAATAACCTTGGTGTATAACGATGTCAAAACACACAATAAAAGACAAAGATTCACCCGTGTAGCCTTAACAGACTGTTGGGGCAAGTGTTGTTAGCGAGCACCTATGAAGGCCGGTACGGCTCGCGAGGGGGTGGGTGGCCAGCACCACCCCCGGCCGCCTTGGTCTCTCCAGTGACGATGTTTACACACCACACCAGATACTCATTTGAGGCTGAGTTGACCTAGGGGAGGCCCAAGACCAGTTAAAATAATCGTCACTGGTGTTGGCTGTGAGCGGGAATAGAACTTGGGTCCTCGGGTTTGTAGCGCAGCGCGCTAACCGCTACACTACCGCTCCCCACACACACACAGACACACACAAAGCACACATTTGAGTGGAGGAATTCTGTGACCATCACCGAAACGATGACTCTTCGTATAACTCCAAATCACGCGTGTGCCCATTTTAAAATCTAGATCTGCCTTGAACTGCCTTGGGTCCAAGTTTGCTGTGCTTCGTCCGCACCTCTGATTAGCGCTGCTGGCTACGTACGGTGCGAAAGAAGTTCAACGTGCCGTCCAGTTTTTTAGTTTGCGCGCGATGCCGACAGCTTCGGGGAGTGGCGCGGCGAGTACCGCGCCGTCGAGAACGCATTGGGGTTCCACTGTGTGATTCGGCTGGTCAGTCCCTGCACGGTGTGGGGCAGGGGGGGATGGGGGTCATCTCTCATGTCCCACGTGTGGACAGAGGTGCATGTAGCAGCAGCAGCAGCGGCGGCGAACGGTCGCTTTTTCTGTCGCTGTTTATGGAGGAGCCACTGCCACCATCACCACCACCGTTTTCTTGGCAGGACGAATCCATGCGGAGCAGTGGGTGGGTGTGCCCTCGATGAGGCTTGGAATTCGGAACGTCGGCACGACTCCACGGTGTGACTTACGCGGCGTGGGAAGGAAACTCCATCGAGTATCGAATTGATTAACAACGCGGCAAATCATTGTCACCGTTTACATATTTACGCTTCCCTGGTACAGTACTCGTTTCTTTAGAAATGCTGTTTGTGTCTAGTTTGTTGTCCTTACCCGGCACGGTTGGCCACGTACGGCGCGAAATAAGTTCGACAGACATACACATACTGTACATACATACAACGGAGTAATAAGACTAATGATGCAGACGTGTGACAAGGCGTTGGAACGAGTCCTTTTATTCTCACGCCACCAGCCTCTGAGCTGTACAAAAGGACATTCACCAAGTGTAATAAAGGTCATTGAGGCGACTTCTGGAATCCGTCTTTTATTCAACTTGTATTACAGCTTTCCTTCATGCTGCTGACAGGCAGCGTGAGAGGGACAGATAGAGAGAGAGACGCACTACCACATGGCAACCCGGAGCCCCGCTCCCGCGTGGCCCCCTTCGTTCCCCTTCTGACCACGTGTCGTTCGTCTCCACCCTTATTTAATACCCGGGTCACGTGGTACGTTTCCACCAGTCCTGGTTAGCCTTCATGGAATATTCCAGGCTCCCTCGTAAGTTCTCGGGACCACGCCCCTGACTCATCTCCCCTTTGGCTGTGGCCAAAGCCAGCAGAACCAATCCTTACAGCTGTCACCTTTCCATTACATCAGGGCCACGCCCCTAGGCTTCCCCCCCATTGGCTATAGACCAGGACCGGCAGAGCCAATCATCATGACGAGTTGTGATACGTCAGTGAGCCGGATATAGCCTCACATTACACAAGTATAGAAGCCCCAACGATTACTTTGTGTTTAACGAGTGGGAAGAAGCCCGTCACGTTCTAAACGATGATAATTCAGCGATGGACTCAATTTCACCAAGTATTTATTATCATGAAAAGGGTAAATACAGCTTGTTAAGATTTCCAAACACCAAAACAGACACACATTTACAAGGCATCATTGTTCTACATAAGGGGCACGTACTCGTGCTAAAATTTAAATTTGCAAACATGTTCTAATAATAATAATTTCCTTCGAGGGTTCTTGCCCTCCACATTTAGAATCAACGTGCGCTTAGAGTATTTGGCTGCTATAAAATAATGTCCACGTGATAAGCCACTTCTCGTTAAGCTATCCGTGTGTGTGGCCAGGCCGCTTCTGAAAAAAAACCCAGCTATATAGCTCAGTGAGCCTTATCTGGTAAAATAAAAATTTTAGTTCAGTTTTTTTTGTGGGTATCTTTGCTCCTGCACATATCTGCCTGCTGGATGATGTTGAAATGCGGATGCCATAAGGCGCGATGCTATTTTAATTAGTTGATCAGATAAAAAAACACAGCAGCACCGGGGCAAATAAACTCAATAATCGCATCAAAAGGTCACACATTTTTATGGAATTCTGACCCTGTTCACACAAACTACACATCATAAACCTTCAGACGACTCATCGTTGAATTAACACTGGTGGGGAGGGTCTAAGATTAATTACCTGGACAAACATACGAAAACACATATTAGCCACGTATATATAATAGACAAAGCACACCTTGTAAAACGCACAGCTCTGATATAAGCAACACACATGACACTGGTGGGGGGGGGGGGGGGCAAAGGGCAACTTCTGATACAAGACCACGGCGCCAGATATAAGCACACATGGCCTAGCTCAGAAGGGGTGTGCTTATATCCAGGTTCTGCTGTACAGTATTGTGATGATCCGAAGGTAGTTTCCTGTTACACGGTAAATACATTACTGTGGTACTGAGCACATCACGAAACTTATTATTTTTTTTAAGTGAATAGAGTAAAAACTGACGCCACGCTCGATTGAGCCATCAGGGAGGTGCTCATCTCTCGTTCACAGCTCCGAAGCCAGTGGTGCCAATTCCACATTCCTATGGCGGGGGCGGGGACAAGTATAAATCCATAGGATGATCACTGTTGAACTCCCCCCCCCCCCCCCCCCCCACAGAGTGGTACGGAATTGTAATCGACCACGGCGTTACGTTGGGCCGAGTCAACCTGCCAGCACGAACTGGACGTGCGACCTTCTGACTTGAGTCACCTGGCCGGGTTAACGAGTTCGGAGGTCACTGCCGAGACAGAAGCAACTGGGGAAAAGAAGGAATCACGGATGACAATAAGGCGGAGGTGGGGGGGAGTGCTTTGTCCAGCAGTGGGAAGTTACAGGCATAGAGCAGCAGTAGCAGCACATAACCTCTTGGTTCTGTACAAAATAAATTTTCCAAAATAATAAACACACCACTCTCGTGTACTGACACCACCTCTCTCTTATACTAATAACACCTCTCGTGTACTTTTTAAAATTAAAGTATAATTATATTAACCCTACAACACGGCGACACATTCCAAAGAAAATGAGAGCACTACGTTGTTAATTTTTTAATTAAAGCACAAACGTAAAACACAAACGCGCGTTTGTAAACTATCTTGAAGTTATCATAAGTATGGTTACCAACCGCCCGAACGAAGGTTAAGGGACATGTTGCATCTCCAAAACGTTTACATGTTTGTGCGCAATAAAACACCAACATTTCGTTACTATGCGACCTGTGCAAGCTATGAGTGAGCGCACGCGTATATTCGTAATGACATCTCTATTGTGCAAAATAGTTCACTGAAAGGAATTCCGAGCAAATCTACGCGATGTGAAATGTACTGTTATTTTGTTCTTGTTGTTCAAGCAAACAGGCAAGCGACGTAAATCCTTCAGCTGATTAGAAAAAAAATGTCGCCCAAAATCCTTCCAGGGGTAAATTAAAAAACATTAAAAACATGTTTTGTAAAAAAAAGTCAGTTTTCATTTTCGCTCAAAAACCTCGCAGCAGGTAAACGCGTTGCATCAAATCGTGGGCGAGCAGACACTCAACTGCCCCCCCACTCAAGTATGTCATGAAACACAGCAGATACAATTCGAGACGTTTGTACTTCATCACATCCAAATACATTACTTTGACTAGTGGCATTATACCCGTCCCACACGCACCGCACATTTTACGACCGCCATTCCAATCCGTGAAGCAGAATTGCAACATTCGTTAAAAAATACTTGCGTTGGTTGTGTTTGTGTTGCGTGGTTTTCTCCCCCCCCCCCCCCTTCCCGTAACGCGACAGTTTTGATACAAACAAGGAATTATGTCTGCATTAACCACAATGGTTAATGCAGACATGATTCCTTGTAAAAGGTTTCAGTTTGGTGTTTTCACATTTTAAGACCTGTTTTGTTGCCAGAAAAAAAGGGGAAAACCTATTCTTATATTTTGGTACTGGCAAAGGAGGTCCCATGACAATACAAACAAGACGGTAAAAACGAGGCAGGAAAGGTCAATCGGAATCAACAACCGACTCAAAACAACTCATCAGGTTTTGATTAAGGACTCGTTAAATGCACAGCGCCACCCACGGTTACAAGAAAAGGCGGTTCGGACCCATGGCCGAGACAAAACGCAGCGCTACCGAGCTGGATGCACGAATAAATAATGAGCGTGAAGCAACACACGGTGCTAACGTCACGACGGACGGCCGTGACGGGAGAGCGGCATGGGCCACCGGAACACCAGCGGTCACGGACGCTCGGGCACCTGGGCATAGTTTCACCTGGGTCTTGCCGGTCGTGCTCTGCCGGCTCTCCGATGTGTTCTCCGGGTTGTTCCGCGTTTTGTTCGGCGCACCGTGCGCTGTCCGACGATCCGTTCCGCGTGGAACAAAGTGTTGGACATCGTGCCGAACGACGCGCGGATCGATCCGGGAAAACGCATCGGAGGGATATCATCTGGGTGTGTTTGGGTCGGCGAGCCAGAAGGTATTTCTGCATCCCAGCACGCCACATCCAATACACCTCTTGCTATGGCTGTGGTTACTATGAGTCACGTTACCACCACCTCCACCGGTCTACCAGCGACACAGAAAATATCGAGTGAGAAATTAAGCCTCTGCGTGAGACTGTGGGCCTTCTCAGGGAGTACATGGGGGGGTCTCTATTTGTGTGTTTATGGGTCTCAATGGGTCTGTGTGTCTCTACGCAAGCCTACAATATCCGGAAAAAATATATTTCTGCACCCGGCACACCACATTGAACATTACGACGACTCACTACGGCCGTGGATCCTGGCAGTCACGTGCCACCCACTCCTATCTTAACCAAGCAACCGAGAACATTGTTCAGTGAACAGGAACAACAACAAGAACATGAATTAAGCCCTACTATGTAAGAACCGCCCTCCACCTCCCTGCCACCTACTCCCTCCCTCTTTTGACACCGGTCAACCTGTGAAGCTGGGAGTCCAACCGGGTGTTGCGGGAGGGGGGGGGCAGGGAGGGCACGAGGCTGCACACCGCCCCCCCGCCCCCACTTAATCACTTGCAGTACTCGGGATGCTGCTCCAGGAAGTGCTTGAGCTTGGTGGGGAAGTCCGTCATGACCCCCGTGGCGCCCAGGCGGAATGCTCGCTCAATGTCCTCGTCGTCGTTGAGGACCCAGAGGTACACCTGGCGGGGCGGTAGCGGGAGTTACGTACGCGCGAAATGTACGTACGCTGAACTTCTTTCGCCCAATACGTAGCCAACCATGCTAATCGGAGGGGCGGGGGTAAGGACAACACACTAAACTAGCCGGGAGAGCCTCACAGAGTCTCATGATTCTTTTTCAGGAGGCTGCTACCAGGCTTTTGCAGCAGGGTAGGGCAACGATGCTGTGTATAATCCCATTCGAGTGAATTCTGGGCGACTTTTGCAACCTGGAACCATGACGCCGGCACGCAACGGCCGACTCTTGCGAATTACGTCACGGGATCTTTAACGTCCACTTCGAAGCAGGCAGCGCACTATTACCCAGGGGAGGCCACTGGATTTGAACCACGAACCTCTTCAACGACAAGCGGCGAACGGCGTTTGTCGTTGCACGGGGGGGGGGGCCTTAATCCAGCAGTGGATTGACAAAGGAGGGGCTGTCAATGATTATTTACCCTTATTTAACTTCGTGCGTATCGTTTGTTGTTGGGTCATACGGGCAACAGACGTGGGAGGAGGGCTTTGCAGCACAGCTGGCAACACCTCCGCAGCAGTGAAAGCGATTTGCCCGTTGGGTTGTGGGCTTTCTGCAAGCGATCGCCGGCCTCACCTGTATGCCCCTGCGCTCCAGGTGTTTGAAAAGAATCTTGCTCATCAGTATCCTGCAACGAAAAAGCCAGCACACGAGCGAGCGAGCGAGCGAGCGGTTAGAGAGTCGTCGCCACCAGGCCTCTCGTGCGCGCCGCCAAACAACCCCTTAATGTCTCCCGCCAACACGATCGCATCTCCCCGCGCGCCTTCCGTGGCCGAGCGAGCGCGTAACACGGGAATATTTTCACGTGCCGCCCGTCGGTCGGTTGGGCTGGTCGGGACGACGTTGTTTAGCGTTTGTCGGCGAACGCTGGAGACGTGGCAGTTGGTGCCGATGGGCCGGGGGCTGCTGGTCGCGCGGCGTCAAGGTTGCGTGTGCCGGGTGACGAGACTCACCGGTCCGCGAGCCTCAGCACCCAGCGGTGGAGTTTGGACGTCGACTTTTCGTCGGCAATTCTGCGGCACAGCAACAGGGGGCGGGGGACGGCACGCTCGTCGTCATCAAAGCGCGGTCGATAATTACGTGGGCAGATTACATACGGCATGCATATAGAAACAAAACGGTATTGTCCCGTTATTCTCCGGTTTTCTCCTCCACATTTAGAATCAACAACGCGCGTTTAGGGTATTCGGCTGCTGTAAATTTCCACGTAGCAAGCCAACTTCGTTGAGCTATCACTTTCGGCCCAGGTCGCTTCTGAAAAAGAGCTATGAGGCTCAGTGGGGGCCCTTAAACACCTGCTAGAGGAGAGCAGCTCTCTCCAGAGCTCCAGCTGAGTGGAGGCTCAAGGTCAGCCGTGGCGTGGGCACGAGGTCACGGGGGCGACACCGGCATCACAAAGCTTCAGTTTGAACTCCGTACGTTGCACCCACTCCGTTCCTCACATCGTTGCCTCCCAGTCCACAGTGCGCCCACACACTCACCATGGCCCCCCCTCCCTCCATCCCCCGCGACTATGTAATTCCTCGTCACAGCCATCTCTAAGACACACTTCAGCGGTTGCGCTTTCACTACATTGTCCGCACCTGAAGAAGGACGCTTGTGTTGCGCCCGAAACGTCGTGATTTTATTTGGTTGTTTTCATTTATTTTATTTTATTTTTTACCTACGTGACTTTTTATCGAAAAAATCAAAGAGTACCTTTGACTTTATTCACGATATAGTGAATCGAAATTTGAATCTTTTATTTGTCCTGGAAGAATCCGATGAGCTCTGGAGCTCTTTGTCACAGATGTCCAGTAGGGGCATGGGGTCAGCGAGTTGCATTAACAAACAATACAAAAAGACGATGCGAGTGCCATATAGAGGAGAGGTAAAGAGTGTCGCAATACATAAATATACATTTCTGCCGATTTGTCAACACCAAATGCATGCTTGGGGCAAGGCAGCAAAATAATAACAACAGTCCTAGACCACACCAAGACAACAACAACCACACAGTACTAAACCAAACCAAGACAACAACAACAACAACAGAGACCCAGACCACACCAAGGCAACAATAACAAGTCCCAGACCACACCAAAACAATAACAACCACACAGTCCTATACCACACCAAGACAACAACACAGACCCAGACTACACCAAGACAACAACAACTACACAGTCCTATACTACACCAAGACAACAACACAGTCCCAGTCCACACCAAGACAACAACAACAACAACCACCATTTCCCATGTGAGCAGCAGCTCGTGACGCAACGTTGGGCGAGCTGCAGCGACAGCGACGCTTGCGTAACGCTCCACGACGCCGCGCCACGCACGCGGTGGCAACTTGCGCTTACCGACACAATTATATAACGCAACGTGGAGTTGCATAACCCCCCGCAAACGTGACCGCATCTCCAGATGCCATTTGCCGTTGGGAGGGTGGCGGCGAAAGCGGCGATTTTGGGGAACGGGGTAATTTACTGGGTATCGGTGAAAAAGAGCTTTGTGGCTCTTCGGATTCTTCCAGTCTAAATAAAGATTCTGAAACTGATCTGTTTCACGGGAGAGAAACGGGCAGTCAATCAGAGAAATAGGAAAATATGGCACAGGCAGATCCCCACGTACTTGCAGAGTAACGTTAGCTCGACTCACACGGAGGCCCATGCACAATACAATGCGGATTACGTAACCCCTCCGTAAGGCAGCAATCTGAAGACGCTGCGCAGAAACCGTGGGTGTATTTATTAACATAGGCATATGGAAGAAGAGGGATCTCTTCGTGAGTCTAAGAGTCTCTGTATGAGCCTGTGGGTGTCTATGCAAGTCCTGTGGCTCAATACAAACTGGATTTACATAGAAAGCGATTGCATTCCAAGACAAATACCAAGGCTTGATTGACAGTGCCAGAGGCTTTGTTTTAAGTCGGTGAATAGAGGGAGGCGTAATGTAGGTGCGGTGTCTGAGACAAATAAACAAACAACACTGGATCACTCTGAGCTCAAAGGGGATTCCATTTGCCTTATTCTCTACGTGACTTTTCATCATCGCCATCACCGGGCCATCTTCTATCCACTGCTGCAATGCTCGTGAGCTGAATGGATCTCCCCTTCTCTGTCTCCACGGTGGACGAGGTATGTCGCCGATTCGGAAGTCAGATTTTTTAAGTGCGGAACAACATGGCACATTCATCAACCCCCGCTCGCGACCTCGCCGACCCCCGCTCGCGACCTCGCCGACCCCCGCTCGCGACCTCGCCGACCCCCGCTCGCGACCTCGCCGACCCCCGCTCGCGACCTCGCCGACCCCCGCTCACGACGCGCAATTTCCTGTCGCACCTGAGCACCATGGAGGGCATGGGGATCTCCAGGAAGCCCTCGGACAGCGGCACAAAGGGCAGCAGCCCCGTGTAGAAGAGCAGCAGCAGCACGACCACGCGCTTCATGCTGAAGAGGATGCCCACGTCCGGGTTCTGCGACAGCGACAACCACAACGACGCGATTAACTCTGACTGGAGGCGCCCAATCTCGTGGGATCTCGGAAGCTTAGCAGGGCAAGCCTGCTGGGATGAAACCGGCGAACACAACCGCGCACGGGACACAACGGGCAGCACGGCCGCCGGGGGTCGCAGGGTCAGAGGGCAGGGCGCACCGCTTTGTGGCACTTCCTGATGACGACGTCGCTCGCGTTGCCCCACACGGTGAGGGACTCGCGACTGTGCGTCCTGATCAGCTCCGACACCTGCCAAGAAATGAAACCGTCGCGTTAAGTTTAAACGTGTATTATTATTATTCTACATTTTTGGGTTTTTTTTTTTTGTCTATAACCATAGTGACAGGTGTTATGGGGGGATAGAGATGACAAGGCTATGCGGTTGAACAGCAGACAGCAATGAAGAAGAATTCGCCATTGTCCTGTACTTCTACGTTCCCCGAAACTATGCTTCCGCGCATTCAATAAACCGCACTGAGCAATGGTCAAAAAGCCACACTAGGGCCATACATTTTATACGCCCTGCAAAAAGCATTTGTTGCATATCATTGTACTACTATTCTAAAGAATCAATGCCTCCAGTTTCCTGGCTGGACGCTGACCGAGTTCCTCTCCACCACCCCAATAAAAAGGCGCGACCTCGCCATTGCCACCGAAAATATCTGGGCAACTGGCTACACGGGATCTTCTGTGTAACAAATACAATAATGTATCCATTTATATTCTTGGTTCTTTCGGTAAAGTCATGTAGAAGGGACTGCAACACAAGCAATCATCATCAGGAGGTTGAACTGGCGACCTCTGGATTGTAGGTCCAGTGGACGAACCAAATGCACCTTGGCGCGCATCCTCGCGTCGCATAAACCTTTGCTTATGAAGCCATCGACTGTTCATGAGCAAACGGGGCTTCATTTCAGCCGGGTCTGTCTTGGGTTGGCGACCGAGAAAATATTCCCACACCTGGAACACCCACAACATCCAGTACACCCCTCCTGCCATGGCTGCGAGTTGCTTGTCTCCTCCTGCCGCCGCAAGATTGAACCGACGACCTCTGGGTTGCAAGGGCAGTCGGTGTGCTGACCACGAGACAGCCGCGGAAAGCATCCCCGCCCTCCCCCGCCCTGTCCGTGTGATTGCGAGCGGCTTGAGCGACGGCCGGAGTAGTGGAGGGGGGTTTTTCTCTTGCCCACCTTGTCTATGAGTTTGTCGTCATCCACTTTGATGTCCACGTTGATGACGGTGTCGGGGAAGGCCTCGAACACCTCCCGAAGGCGCGGGATGCGCGTGTCTCCTGTCCCCACGCAGCAGCACTCTGTCGGGCACAGAGTGAGAACACACACACGCGCACACATGCGTACGCACACACGCGAGATTCAATTAATGAATCGCAATGAAAATGCCGACCAAGGTAGTCGAGTAAGATTATTGGAGATGATTCAGTGCGCACGACCTGCCACAACACATAGTTTAAAATCGCGGTCACGGAGAAAAGCGTGGAAAAATGCACACTTGGAATTATACGAATAATAATGTACTTATTTTATGATGATGATGATGATAAGAGAGAGATGCAATGATTGACGTCATATGATTTTAATTAGAAGGAATTACACTTAGAGACAAAAAGAGGAACACGTGGATTATGTATGAATGTGGTACTTTTTTCGCACAGCATGTAGCCAACCGCGCTAATCAGAGGGAAGCTGTTGTGCAGCAGGGGCTGGGTGGATCGTTGCATCGCAAGGTCGCGAGAGACTGCGGTGGGTCGGGCCGGCCATGGCTTACAATGATGACGAGAGTCAGGGAGTTGACCAGAGGGTGGGTGAGGGGGGGGGGAGAGACATTAGCCCTCACCAGCCCTGATAAACCCGAGGTGGAATAGTGAACAAAGCGTTTGGGTAGAGGAGTGACATCGGGTGTGCTGAACGGAGGGTCGGCAGGGGGGGGGGAGGAGGGTCGGTGTGAAACGTGGCGATTAGAGAGGGGGCGTGTGTATGTGTGTTGAACACCGTACGTAGCCAACCGTGCTAATCAGAGGTACAAAAGTGGACGGGGATGTGACTGGCATGATGAGTGGGAGGGCGATTGGGCGATTGGAGAGCTGCGCGAAGGTCACAGGGAGGGGGGGGGGGGTAACGACCGAGCCCTGCAGCGTTTTGACGAATTCCCGCAACACGACCTCCAGGGTTCCCGCGAGATATTAATTTTGTCCTTCGTGTCGTTTGCACGGCGGCTTAATTGGCACCGCGCGTCCCACGAGCACCGGAATCAAACCGCGATCAAACAGGGCAGAGTTAAATCGAAACTGGGGAGATGTTTCAGGTCCCCTAGGTGTCTTCCTTCGGTGGGTAAACAAGGCGGCTAACCAAGGGCGGTTGATTCTGAGGTGCCCCCCCCGGACCGCCTTGAATGCATTTTTTTAAATCCGAGGTGGCAAAATTTAGGAGGAGGGTGAAAAATACTTCACAATGTATAATTATAATTTACAGTCCCTTTATCTACCCACTGCTGGATGAAGGCCTCGGCCGGCTGCTCGTCACCTCTCACCACCCCTCAAAGTCCTACGTGACTTTACCGAAAAAACCTAAGAATATGAATACCCCTCAAAGTCATCCGTCCACCCAAGCTCCTGCGCACGGAACGACTGACCCCCCCCCCCCAATCCATCCCCCACCCCCCCCACACCCCCTCCCCACCAGCACCCCCCCATCGCTCCATCTCCTCGGCGGATAACCTCACGGACACGTCCCTTCGCTACAAATTCAGCACATGTCTTGTGAAAGTCATCTCGTTAGTTTTCTCCCGATTGCGGTAAAATCATCGGAGCGGCTCCTGCCGCTCTCTGCTGAAGCGTCCCCCGCGCATGACAGACGCACTATTGCGTGTCGGCCAGGGTGAGCACGCCCGCTACGATGACAGCACAACAGTACAACAGCACGACAGCCGACATCTGCAATGCCGGCACTTTACTCGTAATGTCCCCTGACGAGCTCGAGTGCGGGGAGCCAGACGGGTCGTTGCATCATCGCGAGACCGTGAGAGACGGTGACGACCTGGTGAAGGACTTCATCCAGCAGTGGATGGATCGTTATTGACGGTGATGAAGGCGGTGATGATGGCGATACACTAAGAAGTAGGTGGGTTGTGGTGACGCATTTGGTTAGCGCACTGCGCTATGAACCCGGAAACCTGATTTTGATTCCTGGCCACGGCTAAATATCAGTGGCGAATGACACCCGTATCTGAATCAGTCTGGCTGCTCTCCACCGAGTTTCACCATCCCATGGTGACCAGCATGGTGAAGTATTATCAGACAACTATCCCAACATGGCATTGACAATGGGCAGTGCAGAACATGTTTTTTTACGATAGTAATTCAATACGAAACGACTGAAACAGCAGCCGTCAGCATGATTCACACGCGTTGACGGTTCTCCTCCGCTGGCCCCACAGTCTGGAACTCGCTGCCCCCCCCCACCAACCCCCAGTGATCCATGCTACACGAGCCGAAAATAACCCGGCGGCCTGTGCGTTCGCGCAAGTCCAATAACGACGACGACGATCTCGATCACCGCGCGTAGGATCATCGTGGTTGTGCCGCACCACTCAGCTGTGTGGCTCTTTTTCAGAAGCGACCTGGCCACAAATGAAAGCTCAACGAAGTGGCTCATCATCGTGTGGACATTTATCGCAGCAAGCCAAAAACTCAAAACGCACGCCGATTCTAAACGCGGAGGGGGAAAAAGCGGAGGACCAGGAGAAATATCCACGCGACTATGGGGAGACACCGCGGGATCAAAGCCTGCGTACCAGGCGAGGGAAATAACCTCTCGTCACCGTGGACCATTGGCAGGGGGGTTGCTATCGCGGTGATGCCCTTCGGTTCGCTTCGTGCGGTGGCAGCATCCTCCCGAGCTCACGCGGAGCGAAACGTCAGACGTCACGCAGGGCAACACGAGAGACAGCAACGGCGATTCGAACGAATCGCGTCTGTTTAATTTCCTCCGCCGTTAAACTCTGCGTGGCACCGAGAGGCAGTGTCCGTTTCCGGAAAGATGAATGAAACACGCACAAGCGCAAGTGCGTAATTGTGGATTGCTGTTTTTGAATAGCTCTGTGCCAATCGACCGCTGAAGGAAGGCCTCTCCCTTACTGGTGTCGGTCCTGGGGATTGTTTACCACACTCCGTCCACGGCTATCAGCTTGGGATGGCGGTGAAGGAGGGGAAGTCCAGGACCGGTTTCGATATCACTCTCAACCGATGTTAGCCATGGCTGGGAATCGAACTCAGGTTGACAGGTTCATAGCACGGTTCGCTAACCATTGCACCACCCCAGGACCCCCCCCATCCCTCACTTAACACACCAATACACAAAAGACAAAGGTGCCCTGTATAGCCAACCCAGACTGTTGGGGGCGAGCACTGCTAACGAGCACCTATTAACTCAGTTCACCGGGGTTTGTAGCGCAGAACTCGGGCGGCCGAGTCCATAGCGCGGTGCGTCAACCGCTGCGCCACCGCTCCACGCCAACGTGAACGTTGTCGCCGTTTAAATGAACCAACTCCCCCACAGCCCCGCCCCCCCACGGTGGCGAGATGTTAACTCCCTCGCCTGGTATACAGGAGGTTATGGCTTCGATCCTGACCCTGACGCCTGCTGTATATTTGGAGTTTGCATGTTCTCCGTGTCTCCCGGTTTTGCCCTCCACATTTAGAATCAACATCGCGCGTTTAGAGTATTTGGCTACCGCTATCAAAATTTCCACGCGACGAGCCACTTCGTCGAGCCATCATTTGCGATGGCCAGGTCGCTTCTGAAAAGCGCTGTACAGCTCAGTGGGCCTGACCTGGTAAAAACTACTTTTTTTCTTCATATTTTACCGTTTAGCTTAATGAGCTCGGCGATTTGACCGCGCCGCTCTCCCACCAGAGTCTGGTTACCGAGCGCGGCCGGCACGCAGCGCTTAAACAGAAAAAGGAGACACTGCGTTTTCAATAATTCATCCTGCGCGGACGAGGCGGGCCACAGTTTGCTGCTGTTGTTGTTGTTGTAAGAGTTCACCACTCCCCTTGCCCCGCCGCCCCAGCCCGAGCCTCGCCGACAAACGCCGGTTTGAGGACATGCCGCTGCCGACCGGGGGGGTGGTGGGGGTGGGTGTCGAAATCTCCGCAGTACAGCCACTCTTTTCAGCCAGCTTCTCCTCCGGGAGCGGGGCTGGGGGTGGAGGGGTGGGGTGGCTGGGGGTGGGGGGGCGGGGGATGGGGGCACGCGGGGGGGGCAGATGAAACCGCTGGGAAAAAAAAGATTGTCTCTTGGAATTTTGGCCTCGCTTGATACAGTAAATCTAGCTGTGACGGTCCCACCTGATGACGGAGACTTGTGTTGTCTCCAAAACGTCGTGATTTATAATTTTATTTCTACTATTTTTTTATTATTATTTATTTTTTACCTACGTGAATTTACCGAAAAAACCTAAGAGCATAAAAAACAGATGCCGCTCGCATCCGTTTACGCAACAGGGCGCAAACCACGACGGGGTCGGGCATCGGTGAGTCTCTCCCCCCTCCCGTCACCCCCGCCGCCTTCAACTTATTAAAATCTCATGAAACGAGAGACGACGATGCAAGCGAGGTGAAACAAATGCAAAAACGGACAATGAAGTGAGATCGCAAGAATAAGGAGAGATTCATTTGATTGTTTTTACGTTGATTAGTTTCACACTTCAATTAGACTTAGAATGTCTGGGGCGCCCCTTCAGCTGCGTAATGGCCCCTAAGCTTTTGCTTGGAACAAGTAACCGCCACTGAGCCACTGCGCTTTTCGCGAGCGGCCGTGGCTACCAGGCACGTTTTTTTAAAATCCTTTATATTAAGTTCGCTTGCTTGCTTAGGACCGTGCAAATTTTTCGGTCGTTTTTTAACCCACTTCCCGTGATCCAATCGAGCTGACATTTTCCACACAGACTCGTTGTGCGTGACAATTAATGTTCGTGAAAAATGTTTTCCAAAATGTTACACTTTTTAGGACAAAAATATTATATTTAGTTACCAATTTGCTTAATGGTGCAATGCAATCATCCGACCCATAGGTGGCAGCCATCTCAAGCCAGAGGACGAGAGGACTCTAGCCGCCACGCATATAAAGGATTTATAGTGAAAAACTTTGTTTTTACGGGTTATACTTGTTTATGTGTTTATTTTGATGTCCTTCACCCGCATCTCCTATTAGCACGGTTGGCTACGTACAGCGCGAAAGAATTTCAACATACATACACGTGCCTCCTTGCACGCGTCGAGCAGCAACCCCAGAAAAACATTTATGAATTAAGCCCAGTCTGCAGCCAAGATGCCGGCTTCTTACTTGGTTGGAAGGTGACGTCAAGGCTGGAGTGGTAGCAAGGCAGGTCCTAGACATACGGAGAGGCGAGAAGAGACACGGGGAGATGAGCGGGGGCAAAACATGCAACTGCGAACCAGTGTGAACAACACGCATTCACGCAAACACACGCGTGACCGCGCGCGTGTGCACGCAAACACGCGTGTGCGCACAATCACAGTCATTCGCGACCGCACACAATCCTAAAATAACAATCCTAAAATTGCGCCCCTTTGACGGTCCATTCCAAAAAAGTTGACTACGCCGTCAAAATTGAGCAATTACACAACGCCGCGCGAGAGGCCGTTTATACAAGTGCGTCACGTAAAACGCAGGTCTCAATTTACGGCTTCATTTATTTAGAGTGACTCCAACGTGGGCATGGCCTAATCAACCGCGAGTCCCGTGCAAGAGATCGTCACAGCCTCCCCATGGACCTTGCTGCTCCCTAGCATCCTCCCGCGCGCCGCCACTGCGCCTAGCACAGTGGGATCAGGGTTCAACCTCAGACTCATCTTCGTTTCACTCCCCTGCGCCTCGGTAATTCTCGCCAAGTCTCGAGCAATAAAGGTTAAGGGCGCAGCCCTGCAATTGCTTGCTCACGTCACTGCTGGCACAAGGGCCTCCACGACAGAGGGAAGTCTACCCCCTCCACGAGAGGCAAAAATCTCCCGAGAGGGTTCTTCCACGCGGGTCAAGTGTCTTGGAAGGGCTGGGAACACCCACACTCTACCCCACCACCTGCCGATTGACTACCTGTGGTACATCTATTCATGCCGCTGAGTAGACATGGCAAGGGGGGGGGGGATTTCTCTTTCTCACTATTGTCCAGTTTGCCAACCATCGTAGTGCCAATAATAATAAGTAGTAAGAGTGAGCAGCACAGCCACGGACGTTGTTGTACTGTGCTATGCTCACGTCTATGCTCCCCATCTTCACCGACTCGCACTGTCCAGCATGCTGAAGTATGTTCGGATAACCTCCACGACTGGGGCTGGCTCAGTGAGATCCTCATCCAGCAGTGATGCGATTTGCTTTTCTTTTTTAAATGAGCTGCACACATACGGACGTATGTATGTGTGTGTAGTGACATAGAATCGGTCACGTAGCAGCACAGCGCTGCCTGCTGGCAGGGAAGAGGATCTGCAGCTTACAGCAGCCCTGCCTGACAGCAGGTCACGTGATAGACCAGAGGGGGATCTAGGGGGGAAAGGTCACGGAAGGATCACATCGAGAACCGGCTAGTAGGTTCCAGAAGGGGGCGTGGCCGGGGGCGGAGCCAGGCCGCGTTGACAGTAAAAGAGGGGCCCCGGGAGGGGAGCTCGGGGCTGTCGTGTGGAGTGGGGGGGTCCCGTCGTGCTGCTGCCGGAGTATTCACCATCTCGGCGTCGCCAGTCAGGCAGTCTACCAGCTGTCTTGACTGGGAACCGCAGTTACCAAGTGTGAACTGTTAAGGCCGTTTTAATAAACAGAGTGCCTCCTACTCTTAGTGTCTCTGAGTCAGTCACTACATACATATTTTGAACTTCTTTCGTACCGTACGTGGCCAACCGTGCTCATCGGAGGTGCGGAGAGGGGAAGGACCGCAATCTAAACACAAAAAGCAGTTCTAAAGAAACGAGTTTTCATTCTAGAACGGCGGCAACTTGAGAAAGCTTTCATCCAGCAGCGGATGGACCATGGCTTACGATAATGAACGATTCGTTAACGTCAGTAATTCGAGTTTTTATAACCACCGAATTGGCGATATAAACTATTTTACGAGATCCACCTCGGCCTACCACCCGCTCTACCCCCCCTCCCCGCCTCTCCCTCCTCATCACCTCCAAGCGCCCACACAGGTATGTGTCTGAAAAACCACCCAATCTAGATTTTAAAAGTGCATAAAATAAATATCAATCCACCGCACGGACAAAGGCCTCCCCCCACGCCTTTCAGTCACGGGAGACTTCTCGGCCATACTTCACCAAGCCGGCCAATCCGGATCGGCTAACGAGTGTTGAGGGGTGGGGCACAGGTTCGGATATCATGCGCCACTGCTGCTGTCCAGGGTTAGGTACATTTTATTGCGGCCCCGGGTAAAGTTCATTGGGTAACAAATACTCATGTTCGATGGCGGAACTGGTTAAAGAAACCTGGTTACAGCACACAAAACAAACAATCCATAAATCAAAACAAGTCAAATTCTGAATGGCAGGGTCCGTGCATCAACAAAGTACAACCAGAACAAACAATTTACGAGGCTAAAATAAGCCATTGCATATACAACAACAACCGAACACATGTAGAACTTAAAGTCTGCAAAACAGAGCGGTCAATGACACGCACATTGGAAAGGAAATCTGAGGTCTGTTAGCCGTGGCTGGATTCGTAGCGCGGTAAGCTAACCGCAGCACCACCGCTCCACCAACGGATGGGGACTGAGATTTCACCACCACTAATTTCCCAACTTGTGATACACAGAAAAACCACAAGGTGAAGAAATGTCCATTTCTGTTGACTTGCGGAAAATGACAGGACAGAATCACTTCCTACCTCTCTTGAACCGTGCGGCGGAACTTCTGCGCGCCGACACTCGCCCCCAATTCTGTTGCCCCGACAGAACCGCATCCCCCCTTCGTATCCCCTTGAGCTGCTGTGCTACGCGCCGAATTTCATTATGAGCCAACCACCCCGAATGCACCTGCTCCCATCAGAATTTCAGATGCCAAGCAGCTCCGAGCAGCTCTGCGAAGCAGCTTGTGCGGAAATTCCTCGCGTTGTCGTATGACGCGTTTTCGCAACAACACGGTTTCTTCTACCCGGGAACACTTTCCGCGCAATGTGGAACGCGCGCCGTTCTAACGCGGCTTTCTGAGCGGTCGACGACCAACTACTTTCTTGAGCTGCGTGACCGAGTGGTACAGCGATACAGTACGCGGAGTTATACAGTAATGTGACGGCATACCCTCATCTCAGTCTCTTTGTACCACCAGGGGATGGCTGCAGGCTGATTTTATAGTGCAAATGTGGTTCAATATTAATTTTTAAAAATTATTTATGCCCTGTAATATATGCATATATACAGTACCGTATTTTCCCGCATATAACCCGCAGACGCATATACCCCGCAAAAATAGCGTTTTGTGTAAAACAAATTTCAGATAGCCTGCACCTCCATATACCCCGCAGGGTCTTGTTTTGTTTGTAAAAAGTGGTCTACCCCGCGGGTTATATGCGGGAAAATACGGTAATTCCTCGCTTGACGTGGCACATTTCAGGAACGCATCATCTGCCGCGCTGAACGAGGGATTCTTGTACTGTACTCCCGTACCCCCCGTGTCTATGCTCCTTGCCTTCACCAAATGACGATTACCAGCCCCCCCCACGACCCCGCATGATGACGATGGGACAGTACACGTTTGGTGGCGTACACGTCGCTGCCGGTGTCGTCGTAGACGCGACCGTGTGTTTGGTTCGAAGTCAAACCTTCACTCGCTTACAAAGCAATGGGTCAGCAATAGGTCAGCAATGCCGTAGCCTCAGCGTTAGGTCACGGGCAGGGCACCAGGACCACGGGCCGACGGGCCGGCCACCCGCTTTCTCCGAACAAGGACGGTCACTGTATCGCGTGCTTCCAGATGCGCTTCTGCGGCCGTCTGGAACACTCTTCCTTCCAATATTAGGAAGCCACTGGAACTTTGCATTCTATCACCGAAATTGAAACCTAATTTCTTAAGAACTACTTTTGTATTTAGTTTGTTGTCCTTCCCCCGCACCTACGATTAGCACGATTGGCTACGTACGGTGCGAAAGAAGTTCAACATGCACCAACTTTTGGCTGCTGGCCATCGAACAAAGACGATCACCGTATCGCACGCTTTCAGATGCGCTTCTGAGGCCGTCTGGAACGCTCTTCCTTCCGATATTAGGAAGCCACTGGAGCTTTGCATTTTTTTTATCGAAATTGAAAACGAATTTCCTTATAACTGCTTTTCGTATTTAAGTTTGTTGTCCTTCCCCCGCACCTCCGATTAGCACGGTTGGCTACGTACGATGCTAAAGAATCTCAAGATACACAAATATATCTACGTTGCGAACACAGGGTGGCCCTGAATTACGGGACACCCCAAATGTTTGCTTTGTTTCAGAGAACAAGACCAGATCGGGTACAAAGACAGCAGAACAACAATATTTGATGTTTTCAAAAAACTTTGCAGAAACAACGGGGTTTGTCAAGTCGCGCTCTGACATGGGGGCCCCCCTTCCCTTCATCTGCCCTGATCCCACCCTCGCCCCCTCCCCCCACCTTCACCAAAGAACACGACGAAGCAACGCGCAGATGAAAAACGCAACAAACAACTTGTAAGGTCTATGAAATGTAGGCAGTGCTCACGGCGTAACGGAGGTCGGAGATTTTGGCGTCCAAACCGCAGAGACGCTTGAGGCGCTGGTCATGGACGACCACCACCTCGTCGTCCTGGGTCAGGTGACAGTCGAGCTCCAGCATGTCCGTGCCCAGCGCCACCGCGCTAACGCGCACAGGGCACACGCAAGCAAAGACAAAGATCCCCAGTATAGCATTAACAGACTGTTGGGTCAAGTGCTGTTTGCGAGTAAGCGCCTATGAAGGCCGGCACGATACGCACAGCCGCACACACGTGGCACACATTTGCGCGCACACAAACAAAACCGTACACGTGTCTCACGCACGTGACATGCAGGTGGCACGCAATCACACACACAACCGTACACGTGGCACGTATGTCACATGCATGGATTAATTAACACTATTTCTGAGTAAGCTGTTCCACAATATTGGTGCCAAACAAACACACACACACAATCGCGCACGGACACACACACAAACGCATATGTGGCACGCAATCGCACATTTGCTACTGCAAAAAAGCATACACACGGCGTATACAAAGTTGCATACACAATCGCATACTCAGAAAAGCACACTCACAATTGCACATAAGTGGCATGCGATCACTCACACGGCATGAAATTGCACTCGGGCAGACACGTGGCACGCGTGTGAATTTCTCAATTGGCGCAAGTGCACACGCTCGCGCACACACAACATGAACGCACATGCAGCGAGCGCCTATGAAGGCCAGCACAGCACACGAGGGGGTGGGTGGCCAACACCATGCCCGGCCGCCTTTGTCTCCCTAGTGGCGATGTTTACACACCGCACCGGGTACTCATTTGAGGCCGAGTCGACCTAGGGGAGGCCCAAGACCGGTTCAGATAATCGTCACTGGTGTTGGCCGTGAGCGGGAATCGAACTCGGGCGCAACAACCACACACACACAGCACGCACGCGCAGACACACACAGTAAGCACACAACACGCAACATGCACACGGCATGAATGCAGCAGACAGCGCGCGCAAATAACTTGTGCAGCACACGCAGCAAGAAAACAGACGTCACAGATATGTGTGGCACATGAGCACAACTCCAGATGAGAAATCTAAGATGCAATCTCAAGACCCAAAGACAATTATAGAGCCCAGACAGTTGTGCAGGCTCTGCGTGTATTATTAGGGCAATAGGTTCACAGGGAGCAAGAGTTGGCAGCATGCCACATACATCCACACTATAGCTGTAAGTATGTTTGGGTTTTCACCCATCAAACAAAATTAGTCACGTGACCACCACCCCCACGTTAATTGGGGATTTTATGTTTCAATTAAATCTTGAGCAGAGGGCTGGCTTTCTCCGAGAACAGAGACGCTCTGTACGCCAGCTCTCCCCTTTTGCCTAATCTTGTCCTACCCGGTAACCTAACCTCCAATGCAATGACTAACACGGAGGGACCGAGGGTTTCGCCGTAGCGCCCGTGCCTCGTGCAACTGTAGAGATTTCCTGGGATTGAATGACGAGACTGCCGCTTAATCACGGTGGCCAGATCACACCCACGTCCCATCCGCGTCCCACCAGTGTAACCCACGCCCCACCAGAGCCACCCACAGCGCCACCCACGTCCCACCAGTAACACCTACACAAGAGTTGGTCCGGTGCCATGTTGGCATGTCATAAAGATGGAAACAGTTGCCAAGGTGCATAATTAACCTCACTGCAGGCTAAAAAAAACATTTAATGCTAACCAGTTGATATAGAAAGCTGTACACACCCAATTAATTGCCATAAACCAGATTGCATGACACCTCATCAGCAGTAGAGCCAGGTGACGCGCATTCCAAAGTCTAGCACCACCACTAATCTCGCTACCGATGCCCTGTGAGGTCGTACAGACTTAGTTACTGCAATAATAACAATACATCTCGGTGCTTTACCGCTTCGTTCGGTGTGAGTTGGAAGAGGTTTTGACATTACTCGCCACCGGTGTTAGCCGTGGCGTCGCCGGGTTCAGAGGTTGCTAGGCCAGACAGTGCGTGGAGGGTAGTGAGATGGGAAGGGATAGATAGGAGCGTGCATGGAGAGGTAGGAGAATACATGGAGGGGAGTAGAGTGAAATGAGAGGGAAGAGGAGTTGACTTTGGGATTAGTAGCGAAAACATTGTTTTAACGAGAGATTTTGAAGACCAATAAAAGTGTTGTGGCTGCGTGTGTGGGGAGCGGTGGTGGAGCGGTCAGCGCGCAGCACTACGAACCCAGCGACCCAAGTTCGATTCCCGCTCATGGCCAACACCAGTGACGATTATCTGAACCGGTCCTGGGCCTCCGCTAGGTCGACTTATCCTCAAAGATCTTCGGCATAGCCTGAACAGGCTGTACGGGGGCTCTGTCTTCATCTGTGTATAATGACGCTGCGTCTTAGCCTCCCTGAGCAAAATCGTTGAGGAGAAGAAACACTCACTGCTTGAACGCTGTCATGGTGTTTTCTAAATTCTCTCCGGCTCCTAAACGAGAATAAAACAAACGTAATTTTAATAACATTTTCCATATAAACACAGCACACACCAAAATAGCACCGTCACCATTTATAACAAGATTCTGCGCTTTATTTTAAACGTGTAAAAACCGTTATAATGTACAGCAACTTTATCGATCCACTGCTGCTAGACATTGTCCTCCCTGCATCTTTCCATCATCAGCATCAGCATTGGTCAATCCACTTGTGGATAAGGACCTCCCAAACAAGCAAGGCACCGTCTCTCGCAGTCCTGCGCCCTGCAATCTGCACAGCAGCCGATTTCATCGCTCCATCTCTGTAAAGGGACATCCTCACCTCAGGCGCCACTCCCTCCCCTTGGCTGTCACTCTGTTGGCCTCTTCCATCATGGGGGATGCTTGACCATACTTCACCAATACTGTACTGGCAAGTGCCAGTTCGAAAAGGGAATGGAGCTCAGGAAAATCCCCATTGTTCACTCTCCTGTATTAAAAGTATTCAAACTATTAGATTTTTATTTTACCAGGAAAGGCCCAGAGTTATATAGCTCTTTTTTTTAGAATGGATCTGGCCACAAATGATAGCTCAACGAAATGGCTTATCACGTGGAAAGTGATCGCAGCCAAATACTCTAAACACATGTTGATTCTAAATAAATGTGGTGGGAAAAACCGGAGGACCCGGAGAAAAATCCACGTGATCACGAGGAGGACATGAAAACTCCAAATATACAGCAGGCATCAGGGTCGGGATCGAACCCACAACCTCCTGCTAACCAGGCGAGGTAGTTAACGTCTTGCCACCACAAAATGTGGACGTAAACCTAAATCTGCGTCAACATTCGGCAGAAACCATTCATATTTTTTTTTACAAAAATGTGTTTTTTTACGCATCGGCTGTGTCACATGTTTCTGTATCACACGTATTTGATGCATTTCCCCATCTCATCCGACCACATTTGGATCTCCAATTCAGAAGCTGATACTCATACCTGTGCGAATTAATATTCCACTTTGGGAAAGAACATTGTTCTTGTTGTTATTTATAACGAAGCGTGCTTTTGTGGAGTTAGCGAGACACACTGTGTGTAGCAAATCCCATTAATCCCATAATTCTCCACAGGACTGCGAGGTACGCCACCGGATTTGGGGAGTCCTATATCCAGCAGTGGATAGACCATGGCCAATTATATACGACCCGTTCATATTGTAGGCCGACGTCAATGATGGTGACGAAGATGATTATACAAAATGTGAATTATCTCTCTTGGGTCGTGTGACGTTTGTCCGACGTTCCATTCCACGTGCCGTGCTGGTGGCGGGAAGAGGGAGTTGGGGGGGGGGGGGAGAAAATTCTTCATTCTATCAGTTCCCGAGGAGGAAACTCCCAGCAGCACGTGAAGCGAAACGTCGGACATCGTGCCGAACAACAACAACGCGCGGAAGCATGACCCGAAAATACAGCGGAGAGGATACAACAACAAAATAATTATGATGATGACGGCGGTGCTGAAATCCAACACGAGACTTTCGGCACGAGGGCCAAACTCGCAACGATCTCTCTCCAGCACTCGCGGGGAACATTCGCGGAGCGTGTGCACGAAGCTCCAATTTAAACCGACGTTTGCACGTCAGCCGCACGCGGTGATAAGAGGGGGACCGCTGAAAGGTCACGTTGCCCTTCGTGACTCCATTAAGGTGCGATAGAGGAATTACCCCAAAAGACAAATATCCCCACGTACAACCGTAACAGACTTCTTGGGGAAAGTGCTGTGAGCGATCGATTACACTCATATCGCTTTACACACACACACGCGCGTGCACACGAAGTGGCGTTTAGCTGGTGCTGTGTCTTCCAGTTACCACAGAGATCAACCCCCTCTCAACGCGATAAAACATTTGGAGGCAAAATTTCTCCACCATCAAAGAAGTCCTGTTCGGAGCAGTGGGAATCAATCTACTCTCGCTCTCGTTAATATTAATTCACGGGGAAACACTACAGAACAAGAGGTAAATTAACAGTGTGAAACCATAAGATAAAACACATTGGTCGTAATCCAGATTCCACCAAAGACAAAATAATCCAGCCATTGGAGCGTTACTTGTTCGGCAACGTATAAAAAATTATTTGTCCAGAAAGTCTCGTCAGATCGTGTGTGTTCTGTTGGATCATCTGGTGGGTCTTCTTCCACCGTAGCAATATGTCAACTACCTCCCCTAGTATGCAGGAGATCGTGGGTTCGATCTCGACGCCTGTATATTTGGAGTTTGCGTGTTCTTCCCGTGGGCGCGTGGATTTTTCTTCTCCGGGTCCTCCGGTTTTTTCCTCCACACTCAGAAACATGGGCTTAGAGTATTTGGCTGCTGTCAACTTCCACGTGATAAGCCACTTCGTTGTGCTATCATTTGTGGCCAGGTCGGATCTCAAAAAATTAACCCGTAAAAACAAAGTTTTTCACTATAAATCCTTTATATGCGTGGCGGCTAGAGTCCTCTCGTCCTCTGGCTTGAGATGGCTGCCACCTATGGGTCAGATGATTGCCTGCCACCATTAAGCAATTGGTAATTAAATATTTAAAAAAAATTCCTAAAAAGTGTAAAATTTTGGGAAAATGTTTTCACGAAAAGAAATTGTCACGCACAACGAGTCTGTGTGCAAAATGTCAGCTCGATTGGATCACGGGAAGTGGGTTAAAAAACGACCGAAAGATTTGCACGGTCGTAAGCGCGCAAGCAAGCAAGCAAGCGAACTTAATATAAAGGATTTAAAAATAGCTCTTTAGCTAGGTGGGCCTTACCTGGTGAAATAAAGAATAGTTTCGTTTTAAATTGATTCATATTCCACAATTTATGAGGCGGTTGCAGTGGAACTTATTCCAATAGTGGGAGGAGACACAATTAGGTGGCGTATCATGTGGAATATTTATATCTGCCAAATAATCTAAATGCACGTTGATTCTAAATGTGGAGGGAAAACCCGAAGGACCCGGAGAAGAAAAATCCACGCGACCACGGGGGGAGAGAATGAGAGAGAGACACAGAAAACTCCAAATATACAGCAGCAGCAGGGGTCAGGGGTTGGGCATCGAACTCACGACCTCCTGCACACCGGGCGAGGTAGTTGACATCTCCTAGCCACCGTGGCGCTAGGAGGCGAAGCTGACATTTCAACGATCGTGTTCCATCATAGTCTGCGCCGTATAAGTGTATACACTTTGGTTGGAACCGGAGCGTCGCAAGCCGGCAATGTTTGTTCCTCGACAGATATATTCCGAAGCGATTTTCTTCAATGGAAAAACAAAAAGAGACTCCGCAATGATTCTGAAACCGCACAAGCGAGCAAGAATCGCACGGCAAAACCGTGTCTCGCTGGACACACACAAAACGGCAATTGCAGACAGTATTAGAATCTCACCACTCCCGTGGGAGATGAGAGACGTGAGTGAGAGAGATGGAGTGAGGAAGCACATCACCGCCTCTGTGGGAGATGGCAGAAATGAGAGATGAAGGGGTGATGGAGTGAGAAAGATGAGAGGGAGATGGAGCGAGGAAGCACATCACCGCTTCTGTGGGAGACGAGAGAGATGAGGGGAGATGGAGTGAGAGAGATGGAGTGAGAGGGAGTGAGGGAGATGAGAGGGAGATGGAGTGAGATGAGCGTGAGATGAGAGTGAGATGGAGCGAGAGAGATGGAGTGAGATGAGCGTGAGATGAGAGTGAGATGGAGCGAGAGAGATGGAGTGAGATGGAGCAAGGAGACATCTCACCGCCCCTGTGCGAGATGAGAGTGAGATGAGAGATGAGAGTGAGATGATGGGGAGATGGAGTGAGGGAGATGAGAGGGAGAGAGATGAGAGTGAGAGAGATGAGAGTGAGAGAGATGAGAGTGAGATGAGAGTGAGATGGAGTGAGGGAGATGAGAGGGAGAGAGATGAGAGTGAGAGAGATGAGAGTGAGTGAGATGAGAGTGAGATGAGAGTGAGATGGGAGTGAGTGAGATGAGAGGGAGATGAGAGTGAGATGGAGTGAGTGAGATGAGAGGGAGAGAGATGAGAGAGAGATGGAGCGAGAGAGATGTACGAGATGAGAGTGAAATGAGCGTGAGATGAGAGAGAGATGTAGCGAGGAGACATCTCACCCACCGCCCCTGTGCGAGATGAGAGTGATGTGAGAGTGAGATGGAGCGAGTGAGATGCGAGTGAGATGTAGCGAGAGAGATGTAGCGAGGAGACATCTCACTCACCGCCCCTGTGCGAGATGAGAGTGATGTGCGAGTGAGATGGAGCGAGTGAGATGCGAGTGAGATGTAGCGAGGAGACATCTCACTCACCGCCCCTGTGCGAGATGTGTCTGCACGTGAATCGCGGCCTCTTCCTCTGGTGCAGCAGCCCCGGCAGCCGCAGCAGCAGCGCGGACGTGAGCACGTAGCCGCCCAGCGCCGACAGCACCACCACCGCGGTGGACATCGCTGCTGACGATGATGCTGATGTGTTTGGTGGTGGTTGGTGGTGGTGTTTGTTGTTTTGTGATGGTGGTGGGTGGTGGATGGTGGTGGATGGTGGTGGATGGTGGTGGTGAGTGGTGGTGGGTGGTGGTGGGTGGTGGTGGAGGTTGGTGGAGGTTGTTTGTGGTGGGTGGTGGTGGTGGTGGAGGTTGGTTGTGGTGGGTGGTGGTGGTGGGTGGTGGTGGGTGGTGGTGGTGGTGGAGGTTGGTTGTGGTGGGTGGTGGTGGATGGTGGTGGTGAGTGGTGGTGGGTGGTGGTGGAGGTTGTTTGTGGTGGGTGGTGGTGGTGGTGGAGGTTGTTTGTGGTGGGTGGTGGTGGTGGGTGGTGGTGGGTGGTGGTGTGGCTACGTGAGAAGGATGAGGTGGTTAGCGGTGGCGTTGTTACTGTGGCTATGTGAAGAGGTGGTGGTGGGTGGTGGTGTTTGGTTGGTGGTGGTGGTGGTGAGTCGTATTGTTGTTGCAGTGGGGTGACGGCTACGACGGCGGCGGCAGTGTTGATGTCGTCTTTATTGGATGAAGCTGGGAGTGAATGTAGAGGAGTGGTGGCGGTGCCTATAACGTAGTGGGTGGTGGGTGGTGGTGGTGGTGTGGCTACGTGAGAAGGATGAGGTGGTTAGCGGTGGCGTTGTTACTGTGGCTATGAGATAACGTGATGGTGGTGGAGGTGGAGTTGTTGCTGTGGCTATGTGAAGAGGTGGAGGTGGTGGTGTTACTGTGGCTATGTGAAGAGGTGGTGGTGGCGATGGAGACGGAGGAGACGGAGGTGGTGGAGACAGAGGAGGAGGTGGTGGAGGTGGTGATGGAGACAGAGGAGGTGGTGGAGGAGGTGGTGGAGGTGGTGGTGGAGAAGGCGGAGGAGCCGGCTCCTCGTGTTTACAGGAGGATGTCACCGCCGGCCGCTTCCGCGTTTGGGTGCGCGTCACTGCATACGTCACACAGCACTCATTCAGTTGATTTCATTCGTTCGTTCGTTCGTTCTCAAGGTCGTTCATTTACCGACGCGCTTAATTATTCGAACGTTCATTCGGTAATTTTATATTTTTTTGTTATTTTTGTTAAGTAATTCTACTGGTCGCAGAATTGTTCATCAATGAAGTCATTCGTTTTGTTATTATTACATCATTCTTCCAGTCGTTCGCGAGGAAAGCCCTCGCCGCTCATTGCTTTGTCTGATTCATTCATTTAGCACTCGCCCGGGCTCGCCAAATCGGCCGTCGAGTACTCGCTCTGCCCGAATGAATTAATTCATAATAATTATAATTCATTCATAATAATTATTAATATTTTTTATAATTATTATAAATGAATAATATTAGAAAAAATTAAAGTATTATTCATTATATAATTATTATTAATTCATTAAATCATTAATAATAACTATTATAAATGAAAAATATTAGAGACAAATGTAAGTAATTAAACATTATTTAATTATTCATTCATAATCATCATTAATAATTATTATTATCAAAAATTATTAATTATTATCAATAATTATTATGAATGAATAATATTAGAAAAAATATTAATAATTATTCATTATATCATTATTATTCATTCATAGTAATTATTAACATTTTATTATAATAATTATTATGAATGAATAATATTAGAATAATAGTATTATTATAATTATTATTATGAATTGATTATTATTCATTCGTCACCACGAGCTAATGGAGCAGCAATCCGTGCGGCCTTTGTATACCTCGCTAACGCACTGCGCTGTGCAAGCTGCTCCAGCCTCATCATTGTTGTGATGGAGGGATGGGGAGAGTTGGGGGGTGGCTATTTTATTTTAAAATTATTCATTCAGCACCAGCATGCGGTAGTGCGGGGAAGGGGGGGGTGCAAGAAGGTGTTGGTGCATCTTGTGGTAGTGCAGACATGGAAGTGCATTTTTGTGATAGTGTTGAAATGGTAGTGCATGTTGTGGTAGTGCAGGAATTGTAGTGCATAGTGGGGTAGTGTAGAACTGGTAGTGCATAGTGGGGTAGTGTAGAACTGGTAGTGCATGTTGTGGTAGTATAGGAATGATAGCGGTGCATGTTGTGGTAGTACAGGAATGGTAGTGCATCATGGGGTAATGCAGGAATGGTAGTGCGTGTTGTGTTAGTGCAGGAATGGTAGTGCATCTTGTGGTAGTGCATCTTGTGGTAGTTCAAAGGTAAGTGCGGAAAGAACATTGCAGCATGGGTAATAAATAGTGAATTTTGGGTAGTGCAGTGTTGGTAGTAACACAGAGGCTGGTGCATGGTAGTTCAGGGCGGGTAGCGCACCGAGGGTAGGGCAGTGTTGGTACTGCAGAGAGGGTAGGGCAGTGTTGGTAGTGCAGGGAGGATAGTCCCACGTGGATAATGGATGGTCAGGTAGTGTACAGTCGTGGGTAGTGCCCAGTGGGGAGTGAGAGTGCAGGGAGGGTAGTGCAAGCACGTACCGCAACTGTTCAAGGCACACCAAGCTGCACAGTAGTAGTACATCCCAGTTTTCAAACACGCACACACATAGGAGCTGTCAGCCACCCCTCCCAACAGCCCTAACCCAACTTTTGTACGAACATGTTGAAGCAATATCCTGCTCTGGGCTTTTCTGTTGCGAATAATGGGCGTGCACGAATAGACGTGGCGCTTTTCAGTGTTGCGTTCATGCCTCTGAACAATTGTAATTGGCTATAGCCAACGGTACCTTGGGTTCGATGCCATTGGTAGGACCAGTGCCGGATTATCCGAGTAGCAAAAGTAGCTGCACATGCTACTGGCCCCGCACTATCAAGGACCCCTGCGCTAAATGCTTTCAAGCTATCAATTCCGGTTCAGTGATTCTGCACTTGCTCTATTACCATAGTACTATACTGCCTTCAACTTTTATGAACGACTGGGTGTTTACGGTTAGCGATTTGTCGTATTATCTGGCTGTATAGCAAATGAAAAAATACGATTACGGTACTTTACTATGCAAGTAAAAAAATGTGTGTTTTAATATTTACGTGTTGTTTTTTTTTAATATAAAGCCTCTTTATAATATATGCTACAGGCCCCGCACTATCTTAATTCGGCACTGGGTAGGACTAGTGATGTGTGGGCGTAACAAGAGGGTTTCTGTGTACAGCTGGATTTAGGCAACCCTGAATGATCCCGGGAAATTATCAATGTGGTCAGCTTTTCTCGAGACAAAGTCCTTACGAGTAAAAGCAACTTGACTGTGAAAACACTATGTAACACAATTTTGGTTCCTGGATAGTAAGTGGTATTTCGTAATTGCTTATGCCTAGAGAGTAAATCTAGAAAAACTACTCCCTTCTAAATCTTTTGTAGTCATTTTGTATTACTTTAGTATATAAATACATGCACATTTTAATTCGTAAGTTTTTTTTCTGACTTTATGTGAACAAAAAGACACAAATTCGATCGTTTTGTCATGGAAAATAGGTAAATTTCAAAATATCACGGTCCTGGTCACAAAAGCAAAGTTTATGGGGAATAATACCCATTTTCTGTACTTTTGAAGCATAAGCAATTAGGAAATAACACTACCCAGGAACAAAAATATTTATTAAAAAAATTGTTACACAGTCATATAAATGTATCGGCCGAGCGGCCTTTCTCCGTGGCTGCACTGGTGGCCATCTGTAATTCTCTCCCACTGTTCAGACTCACACACTGCGTCTTAAAGTATTTTCTCAGGCGGATTCATGCTATAACAGGTGGAGGAAAAATTGGGTGAACGCCATGATCACGAATAAGCAGCTCACCGAGGATCTCAAAGACAAAGACACCCCCCATATCGCCTTTAATAGACTGTTGAGGCAAGTACTACCAATGATTCCACCTGCACCACTACCACCACTACCCAGCCAGCAGGAAGTTCACTGCCCGCCCCCAACCAGTGGGCTGTCTGACATTTAATCCGACCTGGCCACGCCAGGTGCAGTCGCCACGAGTGGGAGGAGGAAAGAAAATCACCAAAATGCAACCGCAACGTCCCATAACTGCCAGTGGAACACATCGTGAGGTCATGACCACTACGAGTCTATGGAGCTTTGCGAGTATGTGGGCCTATGTGAGCCTATGAGTCTACGTGTGATTGTGTGGGTCTCCGTGCGAGTCTATAGGTCTCTGTGTGAGCCTATGGGTCGCTGTGTGAGCCAATGGGTCTCTATGTGAGTCTATGGGTCTCTCTGTTAGTCTATAGGTCTGTGTGAGAGCCTAAGAGTTTCTGTGTGAGTCTAAGGGTCTGTGTGAGCCTATGGATGTCTGCGTGAGTTTTGGGATTCTGTGTGTGAGCCTAGGTGTCTCTGTGTGTGAGTCTACGGGTCTCTGTGTGAACCTATGGGTCTCTGCGTGAGTATACGGGTCTCTGTGTGAAGCTATGGGTCTCTGTGTGATCCTATGGGTCTCTCTGTGAGTCATTGGGTCAGTCTGTGTGTCTATAGAACTGTATGAGGTCTTAGGAGTCTCTGTGTGAGTCTAAGGGTCTCTCTGTGAGTCTGGGTCTGTGTGATAGCCTAATAGTCTCTGTGTGAGTCTAAAGGTTTGTGTGAGCCTATGGGTATCTGCGTGAGTTTTGGGATTTTGTGTGTGAGCCTAGGTGTCTCTGTGTGTGAGTTTACGGGTCTCTGTGTGAACCTATGGGTATCTGCGTGAGTCTACGGGTCTCTGTGTGAACCTATGGGTCTCTGTTATAGCTGGTACTCAATTCATATCGGTACGAAAGGAGACAAAGAAAAAAACGCGTTAAACTCGAGCGACTGCCATGGATGAAGAAAGGAAAGGATTGTCAGAAATGAGTCTCATCAACAAGGGCAATGCGACGACCAAACGGAGTAGCCGGAGGAGACGCGGAATTGTTTGTGCGGTGCCACGATCGGCCCAAACAAGGCGCCCGGGCGTAAATACAGCCCCCGACGCTGCGAGACCTTTAGACTGCGGATGACATGT